CAACATCAAGTAGTGAAGTATTCTGCAGTTGGTTTTGGAGATCTGGAATAAATATTTCATCAGTATATTCCTCAAGTGTGCTTACACTTGCTGTCGGAAGGGAATGGACAATAACAATGCCATCCATGATTTTGCAGTCATTAGATGAAGGCACCTCAGGTTGTTCACTATGCCCAAGAAAACGAAGCAGCTGGGCGTTAGTGACTGGTAAATGAAGTTTGCTGAAGTCTGAAAGTGAAGGTGGATTTGCTTGTACTTCATGAAAAAAAAATTCTTCAAGATCCCCAGCTCGATTCTGCATAGAGGTATAGAGATGCCCAAATAGTTCAACATTATCCCGCAGTTCTTTGATCTTCTTACCTTTGGGTTGAAGTCCTTTTGGGTTAATCATTCTTGAACAATGGCATGAAATTTTTCTTTACTCGAGGACATTCCTGGCATACTTCTGATACTGTTTCTTGCCTGTATTTTCGAGACTCCGAATTGATTCAGCCACCGATTCATTTATACAGTTTCAACTATCAAGACTTATCAGCTAAGGAAAGTCTGTTGGAGAATATGTTTACCTGCATTTTAATTGTCATCTGACTGGACAATACCTGCTCGTGATGTTGAAAGTTTGTGGGGTTCCCGGGATTATCATCAGGTGAGTGTTTACCCTCAACCTTTCTAATCAGCCTAGAAAGCTCTGGCCCCGAAACCATCTAGCACTTGAAAGCATTATGATTATCCATGAGAGTAATACATCCTCATGAAGGCTTGTTCGTGGTCTTGGGAATGACCCAGTGGGACTTACTGGGGAACTGGTCTTTGATGGAATGAGGCAATGACTTCATGTCCCTGATGTGAACTGATACCCATCTGGAGTAATTCACATGACCCAGAGCAAAGAGCACGTGAGTAATAAATATACTCAAACATGTATACTAAATACTAAAAAAATCCAACTAAACATTGACACTTTGCCTCATATAATAAAGAATAATAAATCTACAAGAATGATGTTCCCGTTAACTGTTTGCCATATTGGATTTTCTTGAGCCAAAGGAATTGAGGGTAAAATTGGAAATGGCTCCTAGCCTAAACTACATAGGTATGTCCCAAGGAAACATTATGCCAAATTTCAAGTTCTTATCCGCCATATCACGATACTTTTGTTAAGCCACCCAACTAAGCATTGCTGCTTCACTCTTCGTTCTGTTGATTGTAAATATTACTTGTTCGTGTTCAGGGTAATAAGTTCAATATACAGGAGCGAACACAAACACCTGTATAGTTTTGTAGGTTCGATTTACTGGATAAGAGATATGTACTCAAGGGAAGTAGCGCTCCTCAACCTGTCTGCTGGTCAACTGCTCTATAGACGACGTATGGCAAGTGACACATTAACAGCTTCCATACGTCGCCAGGCACATTAATTAAGCATGTGGGACATTGATAAATACATTGCCACACGCTACTAGCTAGGCTAAATAAATAATACATAAATGGAGCACATACATAATATACATAGCATAATATAAATACAGCATACAGAATATACATACATTACTTACTGTTATTTTCACTAGGAGTCAATAGTAATATGTTTGGGTGTTTATCTCAGTGCTAATGTTCACACCAAACACCGGTCATCTTTTCTATTTATTAAAATATATATATTTATAGTATGTCACAATCTGTTGGGTTTATGTACGGAATAACAAACACAGGGCCTACTCTTGGTCTGGGGCGAGGAGGTGACAGGAATGACGTAAATGCCATCTCCTACTTTTTATTCTTTTTTTTTTTATTGGGCACTCCCCTACAGCCTTGTGTAAGGTGAAGCGCAGAAGCTTTTACAGCGCCCAACAGGGAAGCATGCTAAGTTCATGCTTGCCTTTATGTCTCATGAGTTAAGGGTGTAGAAGCTTGAAGAGTCAAGGGCGTCGAAGCCTGAAGAGTCAGTGGTTTATGTCATCAAGCTATTGGAAGCTCCAACAACTCCTTGAATACGAATTCGCAACTTTCGACTTACAACAGGTACCTACTTCACTGCTAGGTGAACAAGGACTAATGGGGGCTAGGAAGTAAGTCCAAACAACTTCCACCAGCCTGGGAATCGAACCCGTGACATCTTGCTTGCGAGGCAAGAACGGTACCACTTCTACCACCGATCCTCCATCTCCTACGTGACTGGAAATGATGAGTCACGGCTATGAATTCTTGTGTAGAACATAATAAGATATGACGATATATGCAAGTGCCCCTGTGTTGGTCAATTTTAGTAGTGTGTTGCATATAAACACAATATGTAGATAGCCTGAATTTATATGATTACTACTGTCTATATGTAGACAAAGGCTATTACACTTACGACTCTGTGTGCATCAGCCTCTGTCACATATAAAGTTAGTAATTTTATATCAATGTGGGATAATAAAATATATTCAATATATTATATACTTTCTATCATTCAAAGTAATGAGCATCTAGGCTCAAATAAGCATTTGTTTATATCACGCTATCTTGTCTTGACAGTCCATTAACTTTCATACCAGCCCTTTGTTCATGTCAGATGCTCATTAGTTTGACAATACCAAGTATTTGTCCAGCTATTAGTACCCCAATATAGGTAGAAAATTACCGAGGTTGATGTTATTACAGGGTCGCTATAGCTTGGGTAACCGTTCAATACCTCGTTTGGGACGAGCTGCGTAAAAAAATTTATACATTCCTCGCCACTTGGAGAGATTTAGCTGCTGGTGGACGAGAAGATGTCACTTAGGTTGCATCCGCTCTGACTATACGAATATTACAATATATGTTTAATCTCGTCACAAGGGACATTTATTGCGCCTTTCAATTAAAAAAATAGCTCCTTTGTATTTAATACATCATATTTCTTTTATGTAATACAGTCCCACATGTAAACATGTTATTGATATGCATGTAAAATATATTGATATTTCTGTTGTCATAATGACTAAGGGCATAATTTTCTTATGTATTAAGAATGCATTACTTCTCCCCTGAGAACAACTTCAATAACATGCGCTTCACCGAGAGAGAGATATATATATATAGAGAGAGAGAGAGAGAGAGAGAGAGAGAGAGAGAGAGAGTGAAACAGGAGTTCAAGAATCATGTGTTTGTTCATATTTTTTTTTACTATTACATTTAGAACGGAATGTTAGAGGAACTGTTTATAACATCCTCTGGTAAGGGACTTTATAACCAAGAATACTCACAGATGTGTTCAGTTCAGGACACAACACTACAGGTGCTGCATTATTTCATTCAGTTTCGACGCTGACTCGTTCGGAAGGAGACGCGGACTATTTTAGGTGACTTTCATAATTACTTACAGTCGGAAGACCACAGAAATTTTTCCTTTTAACTCACCTGAAAGTAAGTTTCTTGTCATTACTGTTATCAAGAAGTATGATGACAGCGCGGCAGGTGAGCGTGGCGTCGCCCCACACTCCCTGCAGGAGCTGATCCATAGCTCCATTGCTTTTGGCCAACGGGGATTGAGAAAACAGCCGCCACCCGTCCACAACCACGACACTGTCTCCATCTGCTGCCAGTTGTCTGAGGACCAATATTCGTCAGTTATAATGATGATTATTACTATTATATATATATATATATATATATATATATATATATATATATATATATATATATATATATATATATATATTACTAGGAAGTAATATTACTATGAATGATTAAATCACTTATGAGAGGGGGTAGTTAAACATATAGTAATTTTCTTAAAACTATACTTAATGTTAATATTTACAAAAATAAACAAATGAACACTCAATTAAGGAGTTATCTAAACAGTTAAAGGTAGTTGTGTATAAGAGAGAATATTAATGTGAACACTGTGCCGGCTTGTAATGGAATGATCACTGGCCAGGAAGTGTTGTGTCCTAGTAGGAATTTTCACTGGAGAAGTTTGCAAGATTGAACACACAATTGTTGCTCTAACCCTGTATCTAAGGCCGACACGTCCCTAAGCCAAAGATAATAAATTAGATGACTTAACGTAAATAAGCTGGCCGTGGTGAGATTCAAGGATGCGTTGGATAGGTCTACCACAGATTGACACGTTGAGTATAGAGATGAAGATATTGAGCCCAGTTAAACTGTAGAAGTGTCTGAGCTCCCGATCCATGCACCAGCTTATAAAACCTCGTATTGAGGAGCAGCTTGTGGAGGCGGGGCTTCGATACTCAGCGGTGATTGGCTCCTGTAGAAGCGTTTAGCAAATGCTTTTGAAAATACCTAACATAAGAGAGGCTCTTGTGTCCACACTTAAAGTCCTTCGACCAGCTTGTTACCTGGCATGGAAGTAGGGACCTGTGACATACACCCCCCAGTGTGCCTTCGAGAACTTGCTTTTTCTGTGGAACATTATTGTATTTGGAGTTTTATGAAGCTCCGCTGCTCATTTGGGCAAAATCTGTAATTTTCTCTGAAGTAATACTTAAAACTCGTAATCTGGAAACAAATTGTTTCTCATCAGTCAAATTAATTGCAACTAATTCCCAATCATTCAAAAATGGTTAGAGGAAAAATATATCTTTGTCCTCAAAAGTTTGATCGATGTGATGTAGTTGCTTGACTACAGCTTAATCCTTTTAGAACAGTAGTATGCAACAAAAGACGCTGAGGTCATAAGACACACAACCTTACTTATTTTTCTCCGTGTATTCCCATTTTTTTTATTACTAATATCCATATTTTTAGTTGCCTTTTTCTTTTTTCTTATCAGTTCCACAAATTGTTAACCTCAAAATGATTGATCCTGTGAAGTAAAAATCACCTCATATTTCTTTAAGTAAGACTCCCTATTCTTTACTACATTTATCATAATCAATACCTAATTGAAACACACACGCACACAAACAAAACGGCCAATTTCATCATTTTCTCTTCGCACTACATAAATTATAACATTCTAGCAACATACAGTATATCTTATGTCCAGGGTATGAACAAGACTTAATATCCAAGTAACCAATATTTACTCAATTATTTTTGTGGGGGCAAAACTTACTGTACTATAGCTGTATCAAACATAGACACAACAGCCTCCCTATGTGAGGGATGTTGCAGCTATTAGACGCAGCGCTCTTCATATCTTATAATGAAAAATAGGAACATTCAATATACTGTAGATTCAAATTTGATATTCAGGCCTATTTCTTTCTTGACTCACCTGATCATCGTTGAGAACATTAAGCTTTGTGTTGTTGTATCGACCAGCACCAAGTGACACCCAGCAAGGTGCTGTTCCACCACCTGGCTCACCACCTCGCCCACCTGGTCTATCCACCGATCTACTACCACACCGCTGTGGAACATGGGAGCCGTCATCAGCACGTCTGTTTGGTGACTGAGGCCGGCATTACTATCCATAGTTCTACCGACACACTTTCTCACCATCAACAACGCAATGAGTGTCGTCATACGTACAGTTGTTGACATATTCGCTGAAAAAATGAATTGTCACCTTATAAATTATCGAACTTTAAAAAAAGAAAAAACTTGTATGATTGAGCATAAGAGTCAGGGGTGGATAAAACCTTTATATATGTTGATTATAAATATTAATTATAAGTTAGCGGATGAGGAGACTTAACACAACGGATTGCTTATCTGTATTATTTTATAAATACTACTTTTTCGTTGGTTATTTCTCGTACTTTACTTAATGTTGTTGTTGCATTCAAGAATATTAAACTTCATCTTCCAGTCACCAGCATTCTTTTTTTCCATATAAAATAAAATTCGGATCCCAAGAAATTCAGAAATTCCTAGTAAGATCATGGCCTCGATTTTCTGAAATTTCATAGAGATTTTTCTAATCGAATGCCATCCATGTAAAGTATTATACTGGTCTAATAATATAATTTCTTGATGCTATCCGAAAAAAGAATTATAAGGAATGCTAGCTGGAGGTGTGCAACTGCTACTGTTTGATGAGACCTGGGTTCTTTTTCAGGAGGAGGGTGAGATCAAGTTCACAATGGTCAGGTATTAGGTATGACCCTACTAATCTTCAAAAAGCACCGCAGCAGTCGGTAGTCAGGTCAGAGTGTAAGCTGACCCAATTTCTTTATCTCTCTCTCTACAAAGGCCCTGAGAGTAATGGCTTATGTGTTATTCGTTAGTATAAATTTAATTATGTGGGAAAAGTGTCTCATATGTCGAGTGTTGGAGAACAACAAGAGGACTAAGGACTGTGGATTAGAAGGGGTAAGAGAGGGATTTGAGATGAATATGGTTTGGGGAAATATTATATTCGATGGAAATTGTAATTGTTTTTTCCAAGGTTATTATAGAATCTGAATTGTATGAAAAGAGACATTCTAGTTTTGTACTTACTTTTATATTCCTTATCGATTTAGTTCCTATAGACTCTCGCGTCTCTTGAATACTATTTAGACATGATATTTTGTATTGACAAAATAAAACATTAATTATGATTATGTATTTTAATTACGGCAGTTCTACATAGGAAGATGAGGACTAATAAACCAATGTTTAAAGTCTGCAGTAAGAGTATAGAGGGTCGAAGGAGGTCCAGACATTGAAGGAGTGATGATGTTACTGTGCTTCTTCATAACTTTAAGAGGTCTGCCACTACGAGGTCTTGTGTTGACGTGACCTTCTCGTTTCCAGCGTCTGATCCACCTGCACACAGTCGATGCACTCTTACCTGTTGCTCGTGCAATGGAACGGCAGGTCATCCCGTCCATCCACATTGACACTATCCTAGTGCGTTCTGTCAAGTCTGTCGGCTTGTGAGGACGTCGAAATTTCATTCTTTTCCTCTATGCAAAAATAAATTAATGTTACGTAGGTAATTGGTGGAAACCAATAATTCATAATATGTCTGTGCAGTAATTGTATGAGCAGTAAGTTAATCCATGCGAGGTAAAGGAATTATGTCTTAATATGATATGATTTTCTGTTTTAATTTGTCTTTTAACTTTTCATGGAATTTAACTTTTGGTTTAACATTTTAAGTTTTCTCATGTTTAAGATAAAAAAAATAACTTGTTGAGCATTGATAACAGTCATAGAAAAATAGAAATACAGCATAACAGTTTGACAATTGGGACACAATAGCTTCGTAAAATAGCGGACATATGCAGATTTGATTATGACCAAGAAGAAATATGCATTAACAAAGGTGAAATCCATCATTAACGACCTTAAAGCTGAGAAAAAAAAACAGTATCTTCATTTTGTGTTATTTCTTACATCGATCATCACCGAAACTTCTGTTTTTTACGAATCACTTAAAGTGTGTTGGACGACAAAAAGGATTATATGATATAACATATCTTCCTACCAAGTGTGTGTGATCACTTGACAAACGTTTGCTTGGTATGAATGCATCGTTCATGAAATACGCACAGTACAATGCTTTCCACACTACATTAATATGCCCGAAAAAGATAACTCAAAATTAATGTTTATTATTAGTGTCTAATGCAAAATTATTTTATTCTCTCGCTTTAATGTCAGTAACAAGTAAGAGAAGGTGTAGGACAGGTGGACTTACAGTGGGAGTCAGAGTGAACTGTTGGTGACAGAGAGCGGTGGACGAGAACAATGAACAGAAGGTTTCTCTGTCCCCTCCTTTTATTTGGTCGCTCACGCATTCGCTGAATGTCACTCGTCGACAGTATTTGTTTACGCCTTTTACATTTTGTATCAAATAAGTTCACAAATATTATTTTCATCTAGATTGTAGCAGGACATACCTATATGATCGTATTTCATGTGTCAATATATAAGCTGCATATATTGTATATAGCTGGAGCGGGGATGGCAACAATCCAAGAGGAAAACCCATGTGTGTGTGTGTGTAATCATGGTTATAATTAACGGTTTATTGAAAGAGCACGCCAGCCAGAATGCTGAAAATAAAAAGTTAATTAATTCAGGAATGCGTCACTTGACTAACAAATTATACACAAGTAACCTAAGACATACGAATTTGATATATATTTAAAGGTGGGGAGAAATTCATACTACAGGCATTTCAACAAAGTAACAGCG